TCATCTATTTTTTTTTAAAAAAACAATATTACCCTTCATCCTCATCTCTAATCTTTAATCAAATTCAATTTTTCCCTTCTATTCTATATTATACCCCTTTCCATTGTCATCTATTTTTATATCCATCCTCACATTGGTTAATTATGTAATTATGTAATACAGTTGTTTAATACACAATTCAACATTTTAATATAAATCAATTAGTTATATAACTATCTTTTTTGTATATTAATATGAACATGAATATTCCAATTATTTCCATGCAATCCAATTTCTTACAAATCAATTAATTATATTTACCAATAATAATAAACCAAATAATTTCCCCCATATATTCCTCCAAACCAGAACTTAACCATTTCTGCTTTCAACACAGTATACAATTATATAGAATCTCAATTATTACAATTCCCTAGTAAAAAGAGCTTTTTTTTCTTTGTGTTTTTAAAATCTTGAACTCTCCTCTTTTGCCCTAAATAATTCCCATTGTTTCCACCTACCTTTTTTGGTGAGGAAAAGGAAAATAAATCTGCTGCCTAATTTTCCAACGTTGCAAGCAAACACCAAAGCCAACAGCCTGTTTTACTTTCATTTTCGTTTTGAGCTTGGTTTGCACAAAGAGAAAAAAAAACTGCTGGAGCAATTTAGCAAGAGCAGAGCCCGCGCAAATCAGCTGAGAGGGGGAAGCCGAGCTAATCAACATAGGGCGGCCCTTTGAAGCCCCACGGCAAGAGTTTAAAGAGTTTTTTTTCCCTCTAGCCATCAGCGGGGACTCAGGAGACAGAATGAAAAATCGGGACTTTTTCAAAACGCCACGGGACGCGGGACAAATTGCTCAAAAGCGGGACTGTCCCGCCAAAAGCGGGACGTCTGGTCACCTTAAGCAAGGTGGCGGCCCCTGCCATCTCAGCCTACCCCAGCCTGGAGCAGCAATTGCATCTTAGACCAAGAAGAAGGAACAGAAAGCCGGTGGCTCAGCTATCTTTTGGCCTGCTGGATTTGGGTTTTTCTTTTGGTTGACTGTCGCCGAAATGCAAGAGGGTTTCTCTATCAGCAGAGTTTGGGAGGCTGAAGGCCTCTATCTTTGTGGCCATGCAGTTCTAAAATCGATGGGCTGCTGCTAGGGAGGAGAATCAAAATAGGGCAGAACAAGCATAGTCCACCATGGTTTATTGATTGCCAAGTTTTCCTCAGGTTTTCCTATCCCTTCCTGGGCTATTAAAATCACATTGCTAAGGTCTGTACCGAACACCTGGCTGCAAACTAGTCAGCAGGGGTGTCAAACTCGATTTCATTGAGGGCCACATCAGGATTGTGTTTGACCTTGGGGGGGAGGGGGGGGCATAGCCAGGGTGAGCATGGCCAGCTCGATGTCACTCGTGTTGGAGATACCTGTGGTGGCCTGAGCGCTCTGCCAACAAAAATGGGCTCCCAAGTTCTGTTTTCGGGTATGACGGCCTCCTGCAACCCTCTGCCCGTGAAAATGGAGCTGCCTGTGGCCCTCCCGAGTTCTATTTTTGCTGGCAGAGTCACCACAGGTCGGTCCTTCACTGTTTCCAGGGCAATCCAGGGCCAGATCTAAGCACCCCGCAGGCCAGATCCAGCCCACAGGCCTTGAGTTTGACACGCCTGGCCTAGCCCATTGTGCAATCCCAGGCCACATTCTGGAGGTAAGAGGATGTAGTAACAGGAGACAGCTGCAAAATTGCTCTGTATTCTTGCCTCTAGTAGCAATAACTATGTTCTTTGACATATTTGCTAGCAGCCAGCAAACTGTGAACTTCCCTTCCCCCCCCCCAAAGAATTCAGAAGTGCTAGATTGATTTCTCCTGCTAATTACAGTATATTTGTGGGGTATTTAAGGAGCTGTGAGAAAAAGATGTGTCTGAAAATTAAAGGATTTCAGGATTGAGCTGTGAGAAGTGTGCCATTAATATTCTGACCTGACACCTGCATGCTCTCAGGGCCCAAAATTTATCTTCATTCTTCATAGGCAGGTATTGTGGATTAAATAAGTTCTTCTGGATTCTGGTTTTAAGGTATCTTGAGCTAAGGAGGCCTTTGACCTTCTTCTTAAATACAGAATAATAAAATAATGAGAACTAAAGACTTGAAGCGAAGGCAGATTAGAAAGAACGAGACCTTCAATTCCCTTCCTGCTAAGAGTTCCTTAATAAGGTTTGCTCTTCCTTCCTAACATCAATAAAGGTGGTTTTTCCAGATAAATGTGTGAAGAGCTGCAATTAGTGATTTAACCATGTTTTCCTTTTGGCTGTCTTTTAATTTATATAATATATGTTTAATTGGGGTGGCTTGGAGAGGCAGAAGTGACCAATATGGAGGCTGTGCCTTGCTCTCCAGATATTTCTCCCCTGCAGATCTCTGGATAGGAGGAGGGGCTGGCAGAGCTGTTTGAGGGAAGGCTGCCCCAACAAACCAGCATCCTTACCACACACAACTGGAAACAGGGCTTCCCTTTCCAGAAGGGCCAGCCTCTCTCGTGCAGGATCGGGGAGTGCTGTTCCCCTGCCTCCTCCTCTTGCTCTCTAGAGGTCTGTCAATGCAGAAGTTGGACTCAGAGGAAACTGCTTCCTGCACACTTTCTCCTCCGCACTTCCATACACAGAAGCATCCTTCTCTGCCCCCTGCTTTGCTGGGGGGTGGGGGGGGGCACACCGGACAGGAAAACACCAACGATGTCTATGATTGGGAGAAGAACATCTCTTTTGGCATGCTGTGCACACACCTTCATACAAACACATACACACACACCATTCCAAGCTTGGAAACATTTATCCACATCTGAGCTTGCAAACTGCCAATCATGCCTAGGCTTGGGGAGAGGGCCCTCGCCTTCCTCTGTGGATAAAAGTCCCCAAACTTGGAATGCGGGGTGTGTGTTTGTGTGTGTGTGTGTGTGTGTGTGTGTGTGTGTGTGTGTGTATGCACACATGCTTGGCTGCCAGCAGTTTGGGGAGGCGAAGAGCTTGTGGGGCACCAAATTGTCCCCACGTCGAGTTAGCTGGTGCGACTTGTTCCATCCCGACCCAGCCGTCCTGAGTCAGCTGTGCCTAGTGAGGGGAGCCCAATGAGCATCAAGCCAGCCACACCCACCCAGCCATGCCCACCTGGCCGCTGTGAGTCATCATAGTCTTACATGCAACTGACCCTTTGAGGGCAACCATAATGCTGATGTGGCCCTCAATGAAATTAAGTTTGACACTCCTAGTCTATATTATACAGTCTGATACGCCCACTCCAGACTAAGCCATGTAACGCAGTGCAGTTTTTGTTGAAGTTCTGCAATTCTCTTAAATTTTTCACCTCCTTACAAAGTCTGGAATTTATATCCCAAAAGATTCTAGCATAAGAGTCTCTAGTAGTTTCTGTTATTCCATAAAGTCAATTTTGACTTGGAGAACTCCCAACAGTTTTCCTGGCAAGATTTTGCAAGTGATTTGCCATTGCATCCTTTCCAGGACTGAGAAAGAGGGACTGGCCCAAGGTTATCACCTATCTTTGAACCTGAGGTAGGACCACTACAACACATGTCTCTCAGTTTCTAGCTTGGTGCCTTAACCACTATACCAGACTGGCTCTCAGTCTCAAGGCAAAATAAGATGAAATGGATGGAAACTTAATCAAGCAGAAATTTCCTTACAGTTAAAACAATCAAGCAGTGGAATGACTTGCATCCAGAAATTGTGAGTGTTCCAACACTAGAGGTTTTTAAAAAGAGATTGGACAACAATTTGTCTGAAATGGTACAAGGTTTCCTGCTTAAGCAGAGGGTTGGACTAGAAAACTTCTAAGGTCCCTTCCCATTTTTATTATTCTGTTATTCTAGTTCCAGTTCCAAACATTAAAATGCACATTTTGGGACAAGGCTGTAAACAAATGTGTACTTGCTATTCTAAATCAAACCATGCCAGTCATTATATAATTCAATCAAATAAATTCTTCCTTTTTTATTTGTTTGAATTATATCCCACCTCTCCTGCGTCCATGTTTCCCAACAAACCAAAATCAACCAGTAAGTCTACATGGCTGAGGGTAGACATAGTGCAGGGATTCACTTAACAATTGGGGCAAGAAAGGTCGTACAATGGGACAAAACTCATTTAACCATTGTCCTTCTTAGCAACCAAAAATTTGGGATCAATTGTGATCATAAATTGAGGATTAACTGTATTGTATTAAAATTTAAGACAGAATTAAAATACATTTGTAAAATAACCTAACTAGCATCTAATAACTGAGATCCAGAATACAACATGTATGAAATTATAATGTAAACACTAAAATTATATTAAATCTAAATTATATCTTAAAGTACAGCAATAGAAATGTACCGTATTTTTCAGAGTATAAGACGCACCTTTTTCCCCCCTAAAAGGGGGTGAAAATTTGGGCGCGTCTTATACACCAAATGTAGCCCCACCCACCCATTGGTCCCCACCCTTTGGCCTCTGCCTCCCAGCAATTTACCTCCTTGCAGCAAGCAGCAGGAAGAAACAGCCCATTTCAGCTTCAGCACAGCCTAATTAGCACAAGTTGATTGTCCGTTGGATTGGCCTCCCAACTCTCAACTGTTTCTGGCTGCAGGGATTGCCATTGCCTATTGCTGTGCGGGCCTCTGCTGCTTGCTGCAAAGAGGTAAATTTCTGGGAGCAGATTTTTTTTTCTTGTGCTAATTAAGCTATTCTGAAAACGAAAATGAAAGTAAAACAGGCTATTTGCTGTTTGCTGCAACCTGGCAAAATTGCTGGGAGGCAGAGCAGATTTCTTTTTCTTGTTTTCCTCACCAAAAAAGGTAGGTGCTTCTTATAGTCCGGAGCATCTTATACTAGCATATATTTAGATATATACGGTATCTAAAACTATTAATATTAGCAAAGTGGTAAGCACTCCTTTTCTGCTCTTGAAAGTCTTTCCGACCCTTAAGTCCCTAGTGAATACTTCCAAGGCTTTGCTGATAGGTTCAGCTTTAATGCACATACCTTGATTAATACTTCTGGCAAACGTAGTATTTGTACTAGGGGACTTATGGCTTTCTGAAATGTGTATGCAGGACCCAAGGCAAAAAACAGTTTTATTTTCTCAGCCAGGTGTGGGCGGACAGAAAATGCAACATAAGCTGTGAAAACACAAAATATTTTAGTTTAGCACCTTTTTAAATGCAGAGGAAAGTAATTCTGTATTTACAAGCAAAAATGGAATATATGAAGACTTCATAGGACTATCTCATGTAATATGTAAAAGCCAACAATTTAGTTTTTTATAGAGTCCTTTATGGTTGAAACCATCAGCTACCTAGGTTGATGTCAATAAAGTTTATAATCCCTTGGTTTAGGTTATCAACTGAACATTGCTTATACGTTTATTCCATATTTTTAATTGTTTTTACAGGGAGCACATGGTGGTTTTAGCTTCACAATAATACTCTGAGCTAGTCTGAAAGACAATGGCCAAGAGCGGCGGCTCCCTAGGTGGCTCAGTGGCTAAGACGCTGAGCTTGTTGATTAGAAAGGTCAGCGGTCTGAATCCCTAGTATAGGTCTCCTGCGTGAGCAGGGGGTTGGACTAGATTACCTCCAAGGTCCCTTCCAACTCTGTTACTGTTACTTCGAGATTATTCACTGAACTTTATATTTTCCTAAATGAAGGAGAAAGTATGGCATTGGTTTTGGCAAGCAAAACATCTCCCTGCCTGGATTTCTTTCCTATGAATTGAGAAGCCATAAATTGTGTAGGCTCCTCCATGAAAATACTTAGAAAGCCAAGGAATATTGGTAAACCTGGGAAAAGATATTAGGAGATGAACATAGACTCTGGAAAGCAAGGCCAATATAAAATAAATCCATAAAATTAACTTTCTTGAAAATAACTAGGTCCATGAAATGCTTTCTTTGTTATTTCACATCATTGTTTTTGTAATTTGTATCACCTCATGGAAAGCTCTCATGTCTGACCTCATATGTGCCAATAGAATATATGTTTAACTCATTCATATATAATTCCTTCTCATTCTACCCTTAATTCAGGAATTCATCTTAGAAGTCAATGAGGGTGGGGAAGGAGACTTCAACTTTTCATTCTGAGTTTGATGTCATCACAAGTGTGACATGATCTAAAAAGGGATTCCAGCTGGCTGGAATGGTGAGAGAGACTGTGGGATTAGCAACCTTGAATTAAAAATGGTACTGGCTGGGCAAAGATATATGCATCATGAGTTATCTGGAGAAAAAAAATCAGGAAAAAGGAAAGAACTAGGGATTGGCTCTTTTCTCAGAGGAAAAATGGACTTTTAGGTTCTAGGCTCTAGAGTGTAAAACTCTAGACAGCTCAAGATGGAGAAAATGCACATATGTGGTATTGACACTTAAACCATTTGGTCATTGCTAGGATGGCATCTCCATTCTTCAAGCAGCCAAAAGTAATTTCAGCACTGGATCAATCTCTCTGATGCCAATTTGGGGGATAGTATATATCTGGCAACAAGTTTTTCTCTGAAATTGATTAGTGATCACCAAGATCAGGAAAACCTTCCAGTAAAAAGAATGGCAAATCATCAACTTACCTATTGCGGATCCCACAGAATGACCAGCATAAAAAATCTTCTGCTGTCCAGTTTTATGTAGAATAAACTCTGTCATGGCAGTAAGATCATAGATGCCCATTTCATGCAAACTGCAAATGTAAAGATGCCATGTAAAATATAAATTGTGTTGTGTGCTAATCAACCCAAAGTTCTCTCCTGGGGTACAGACTCAAAGTATATTAATTTGTATACTACTTATGCAAAGAACTGGAAAAGTCTTTAATTCTGGGAAAGGTGGAGAGAAACAAAAGAAGAGCAATTACAGCATCAATTGGGGAGTATTGGGAGACTTGAATGACCAGCCTTGGAAAAAAACTATTTATCAATGCATCCCAACATGTGCTATGGCTTTCCCCCTTGCAAATCATTAACAAGTATATTTAACCAGCAGAATATGCAAATAACAACTTGATCTGGATGAAGGGAAGATAGAAATGCTTTTTAGGTCAGCTAATTGCTAACTGCAATGGAAAAAGTTTGAATAAAATTGTAAGTTAGCAATCACTGTAGTATGTAATAGAATGCAAGAAAAGATACAGGCTTCCTTGACTCTTGTTCCTCCTGGCCAATTAAACCACAATTAACCCATTGTTAAGGAAAAGGATGAAGAACTTTTGGGCTGAATGGTCATGATTTTCTATACCACACTGTTCAGCCCAAAAGCTTGTCACTGCTTCATTGATGACAGCCATGGAAACAAACAAGAGTATGTTGAAGATTACAAATATTTGTTTCTTGATGATTAAAGGAACAGTTAAGGTCTCTATATAAAATTTTATTTATTTTATTTTATTATTTGTCAAGCATGTATAAGATAACAGATATAAGTATAAACATGATTATGAATACAGGAAATGGATATGGATAAATGGGGGACAGTAGGACAGGGACGTAGGCCCGCTGGTGCGTTTATGCACGCCCCTATTATTATCCCTTAATATCATTAAATTATCCCTTAGAATCACCAAATCTGCTCAGTTTCAAAGATGCATTTTCTGGAACTATTGATTGAGAAGATGGCATTCATCCAGAATATTACCAATGATCTGGTTCTCTATTTAACAAGCTTTTTAGGCTGGGATATGGTAGTGGTAGAGTTACTATTACCTTCTCTAACACTAGAAAATGGATGAAAGGAGTGAAGGTGTCCTGGACCTCTCAAGAGATTGCAACACAATTGATCATGGAATGTTTGATGGGATTAGTCATTGAATATGACATTTGGTATTGTGTCCTGCTAGCCCAGATCAAGAAAGTAAGATGGGAACCCTCATTTATGGCATCACACAAAATTCTATTTTGCTCCATGTGCCATTAAACACCAATATGAAGTTTTGCAGAAGGTTACTCAATATCTTGCTGTAAATTCTGAGGTCAACTAGAAACTGGTCTGCCTTTTGGAGAACTAATGGAAAGCAGTCACTAGGTCACTGTCTCAATAGATTCATTGTAGGAGACGACTAGTCTGAGCCCAGGGCATTCTTTAATTGACCTTTGAATTGATTAATTGGTTGAATAATCAACTGACCGATAACCAACTTCAGTAAGAGCTACATTTTAAATACTAACCTGAAATTCCAAAATTCTGTTTCGTTAACTGAAAGGTGCTTGTGTCTTCTAGACCAGAAGTTTCCTCTGCTATTTCCAATCCATACATCATATCCAGCATCTGCTAGTATGAAGCCCAGGCTCTGGTGGGGTAAATTTGATATCCACACACTACCCTCCATAATTAGTGCATGCATTAATAATATAGCAGACTTATTGCCTGAAAAAGAAAGAATTTCTTATGTCAGATTCTTAATAATAAGGTTCATAGAATCAGAATAGGGACATGGTGGCTCAGTGGGTAAGACGCTGAGCTTGTCAATCGAAAGGTTGGCAGTTCAGCGGTTCAAATCCCTAGTGCCACGTAATGAGGTGAGCTCCCATTACTTGTCCCAGCTTCTGCCAACCTAGCAGTTTGAAAGCACGTAAAAATGCAAGTAGAAAAATAGGGACCTCCTTTGGTGGGAAGGTAACAGTGTTCCGTGGGCCTTTGGCGTTTAGTCATCCGGCCACATGACCACAGAGATGTCTTCGGACAGTGCTGGCTCTTCGGCTTTGAAACGGAGATGAGCACCGCCCCCTAGAGTTGGGAACAACTAGCACATATGTGCGAGGGGAACCTTTACCATTACCTTTAGAATCAGAATTGTATAAAACTGTGTTGGATGGGAAATGACATTTCGATACTGTTTTTCTTCAAGGAATACATGAAGAGAGGTTGATGTGAATAAACACCCCTGCTCTGTTTCCCAAGAAGTACCCAGACCCTAAATTTTTATTTCTGCTTTTTTTTTTTTTTTTACCTCCCGGAATTCTGTTCACATTTAGGTAATAGCCATCTTCTGTAAGGATCTCGTATTCTTCACAACAATATCCCCAATATCTGATTCTTTCACTCTGTAAAGATTGAAAGACAAATCTATAATGTAGAATGGATTGTGGTACAATGAACATACAGTACATGGGACAAGCCAGAAATTATCTAGGAAATGATTACATCAGAAAAATACTTAAATCATGGCTGAATTGATGAGGAAAATAATTTTTTTTAAAAAAATTCAGATATTATTGAGTCAAGATCAACGTCTGGTGATTATATGGATATATTGAGTTTTCTTGTCAACACTTGGGGCCACAACTGTGATCAAACTATTTTTTCATGTATCTTGCATAGCAGAGCTTTGAACCACTGTTGTGACTGCCATCTTGACTTTTTTTGACCATATCCTACATATAATCCTGGCAGCAATTAAGAAGAAATTTGGCATTGCCTCCTTCTGAGACGCTTTATGACTTCTTAGTCTGCCTAGTAATCTGCCCTCCAAACCTGAATTAACTTCAAGGCCCAGAAGCACTCAAGTGTTGCTAACTCCTCAGACAACAAGACTGCTTAACCAAGTATATTTAACACGAGGCAGAATATTTAAGATGGTCTGGAATGCAAGCTTCATGTCATCTTACTTATGGGTGGAACTGAACCTGAAAATTTCAACCTTTAAAACTGCATCGAATAGGTTAAAAAAGAATCATCACACCTCCTTGTTTCTTGGATAAAATATTTATTTGGCTTGCTAATATGTTGTGAGAAGAACATCTTCAGTTCCTTCCCTAAAGCCAGGACAATATGAGAACGGAATGAGTGACTTGGAAACTAGCTGCAGGAAAGCCAGAGGACCGCAGTGACAACAACATTGGGTTCCGGGCCAGATGGCTGACCAGGAGGTGAGTATGCTGATTTTTATACCTTTCTGAGCTTTTGTGATTGAGATACCTGATGGGGTATTTGATTAATTTAACAGTGTTTCTTTTGGTAATTTCCCCTGGGGAAGGAAAGTGTCAAGCTCAACTTGGGGAAGTGAGTGTGACACAATTTTAGTCCTCTTTTGTGTTCTGCTTTGCTTTGCTGGCTGGAGAATTCTGGGAGTTGAAGTCCACCACGCTTAAAGTTGCCAAGATTGGAGACCCCTGCTTGGGACCACTGTGCTTCCCTTTGTGTCAGTCCCACTAATTTGATCAGTTGGGGAAATCAACTCCATGGGAAAGCTGGAGTTATGGTTGTTGAGAATCACTCTAATAAAAGAATCTTGTAAATCTGATTGTACTGGACTTCCTTCTCTTTCTTAGAATTGAGAGAATTAGGGAGGTATCTGTTATCTGGATGTTCTGAACTTGCAGTCTCCTCACTAGAGGAAAACACCAAGTTTTCAGAAGGTTAGGAGGGTAGAAGACTGCCAAATTTCAGGGAGAAGAGCATTGCATAGGGCAGAGGTGCCTGCCATAGAAAAGACATACTTCTTAGATCCTATAAGGTGATAGTGTTTAAAAGAAAGGAGTAGAAGCAGGCCCATCCTGTCTAACATGCTTGGATGAGTACTGATTACGATTCTAAGAGCTCAACTTACTATGTTCATAAATGATTCAGGATTCATCAACGTTTTGCCATTCACTTCTTCTGAACTCAAATTTCCTTGTATAGCTATCAGAGCAATCAACATCCACAGGATAAAACATCTATAAAACAATGGAGTAATTACCAATGGAAAAAGACACATGTTTTTCTGAAATATGTATTCATACTAGATATACCTAACAAAAAGCATTATGTAAAAATGCTAAATGAGAAATTTGGTTAACTGCAGATATTTCTGCTGGGGCAATAAATGGAGTGAGGCTGTACTTTCAAACACAGGACAGTCTTTGAAGCAGCCATATAGGAATTCCAAAGGACAATCGCTACTATAATACTTTGAGACCAGTGCTTCACAGCTGCAAAACTCTGAAAAGTGCTCCTTTTAAATTCTTTAAGTCCTGTAATCTTTACAGCCTTGTAAATATATTTATTAAGTAAATTTATGGATAGTCACACAATCGCAAAATATAATGAGAGCCAGTTTGCTCTAGCGCAGGGGTATCAAACTCAAGACCCACAGGCCAGATCCAGCCCACGGGGTGCTTAGATCCAGCCCGCGTGACTGGCCTGGAAACAGGAAAGGACCGGCCCTCTACCAGCGAAAACAGAGCCCCTGTCATGAATGATGTCAAGCCGGCCACGCCCCCTTGACCACACACATCCTGGCCCTCTGAGGTCAAACACAACCCTGATGTGGCCCTCATGGAATCAAGTTTGACAGTTCAAGTCCTGCCTTAGCCATGAAAGCCAGCTGGGTAATTTGAGGCAAGTTACACTCTCTCTCAATGTAACTGGGTTGCTATTTTGTGGGGGAAATAGGAAGAAGAAGGTGTTTTGGATGTGTTCTCTGCCTTGAATTATTTGTAAAACAGATAGATAATAGATAGATAGATAGATAGATAGATAGATAGATAGATAGATGGATGGATGCAGTGGTGAAATCCAAATTCTTTTACTATCGGTTCTACGGGCGTGGTGTGGCTTGGTGGGCATGGCTTGGTGGGCGTGGCAGGGCAAGGATACTGCAAAATCTCCATTCCCATCCCACTTATTGTGGCTCCGTTACCTGAGCCTGTGTCATCAGCAGGAGAGGACTCCAAGAGTGAAGGGGAGGAGTTGGCAAGGCCTCCCTCTCCAGGACCCTCCTCTCTGGCAATGCCTTCGGTGTCCACTGAAGAACAAGAGATAGGGCCAGGGCCAAGCACGTCCACGCAGCCACAGATGGACAGTGATGAGGGTAATGAGTCTTGGCTGGACCCACGCCAGCGTCGCAGAGATAAGCATGCGCAACAGAAGAAAAGGCGTGCCCGAGATTAGGCTGAGTCACTGGACCACACCTCACAGGATATAAAAGGGAGCGTGGTGGCCAGTCAAACCTTATGACGAACAAAGCTGAAAGCTTCCACGCCATTCTGCATTGCCGGACTTTTGCTTTAAGACTTTGCTGGAGTATTCCGTAATTATTGAGCTGCTTTCCTTTGATGTATCAGAAGTGGGGAGAAGTTATCTCTCCTCTTTGTAAATAATAAACTCTTGGCAGGCAGCCACTAGGTTGTTGCCAAGTTCCGTTATCTTAAGGAAAAGGATTTTGCTGGCTGGTTTGGTCTTTAACTCCTGAATGTCTGTTGGTGTGTGTGCGTGGGGTTGGAGACAGAACACCACTCCAGGGGGAAGGATATTATAAAATCTCCATTCCCACCCCACTCTGGGGCCAGCCAGAGGTGATATTTGTCAGTTCTCTGAACTGCTCAGAATTTCTGCTACCGATCCTCCAGAACCTGTAAGCACCTGCTGGATTTCACCCATGGATGGATGGATGGATGGATTGATGGATGGATGGATAGATGAATAAAATGTAAAACAATTATCCATTTTAGTATAGGCATGACTTTAAATATAAACCAGTTAAGATGTTGCAATTGGCCGGAGGATGTGGGGCAGGGACAAAATGAAGAAACCAATGAAGTCACCTGAAAAATAATTGCATAATTAAGTATACATCAGAGAAGCTACATTTGGAAGATGAAGAAAATGAAATCTTAATATAAACATAATAATGACTATAGCATGGTAATAGACTGCAGATATTTTTTTACTACAGAATCTTCTGCAATCATTTTATATATAGAAAATCATATTGATGTACAGCGTAACACCTAAAATGCATTTGGTAAAAATAATCTGAGAAAGAAAACTTCAAATAACACATCACTCTGTAGGAAGTTAGCACCCATCCCTTTCCTGGAAGAGTGAAATATTTTAGGAAATATGAAAAAGGCAGAATATTATATTTCCCTGGATGAGAAATGGATAAGCATATTTTGAAGCAGCTCCCATCTTCCTGCCCCCACCCTTTGTCAATGGGCCATTAAGGCCTGGGCGAGTCTATTCTACATAAGAAAGATCTGCCTTCTTCAGGCAGAGCCATAGTAGGAATTGCCAAAGATCCAACAAAGATAGGATTAGCCCTCTACACAATAGCAGCAGAAACTCACCACATGTGACCTGGGAAGCACATGTGACCATCAGCCAGCAAGACCCCCACCCCCTGGGACTCTGACAAACAATCAGAGTACTCTTTCTGGGCCCCAGGAAGTTCGAAGCCAGAGAGAGCATAAAACCTGAAAAACTCGCTGTATCTGCCCCTTTTTCTGTTCAGGAACTCAAGCCATGTGATCCTGACCACCATTAAACCATCTTTCCAAGCAGTGTTTCAAGTGTCTTTTTCCCCTAGAAGGAGATTTCTTCCAACAACTCCATGGACAAAAGATACTAATTGCATAAACTGGATCCTAAATAGCCCTCTTGGTCATTTCATTGAGAAGAGAAAAGGTTTCTTCTTATCAATGCCAGGAGGAACCCAAGTCACTTTGTTCTGAGAACTGTTCCCAGATTGAATTTACTTCATGTGGAGTCTCTGGGCAAATTCCAAAGACCCAAATGTTGTGATATGTCTCTAGTTCATTTAATCTGATGGTTAAGGCACCAGGCTAAAAGCTGGGATTCTGTGAGTTCTAGTCCCATCTTCCGCATGAAAACCAGCTGGGTTACTTTGAGCCAGTCCAGGATTGTTGTTGTGGATACAATAAGAGGAACAAGTATTATGCCACCTTGAGTTATTTATTTATTTATTTAAAAATAGCAGTAATAAAGGTAATGTATAAAAAGTAATAAAAATGGGATTTTAAAAAATAAAATAAAATTTAAAATATATCTTAAATGGTATTATGATTTTAGTTTTTCAAAATAGCTCTAAAACTTAAATACGTAGACCAGGAAGGAAAGAAGGAAGGAAGGAAGGAAGGAAGGAAGGAAGGAAGGAAGGAAGGAAGGAAGGAAGGAAGGAATAGTTCTAGTTTTCCTTCAGCATCAGTCAAATATATATGGTCAAAAAATGTAGCAATTACTCAAACATTACAGTATCCACAAAAGTGATCACAGATATTTTATCCTATCTGCCTTTGGCCTAAAGAGCACAATCCTACACTATTAAAATGTATTTTTCTATTTTTGAAAGAGAATAATTTTCTTGAACAAAAAATGCTGGACATAATTATATATTGTGCTCCATTGAGATGTAATTGTAGAGAAATATATTTCTTCAAATGTGAAATAAAACAGAGCAAAATTACTCATGTGAGATTTAAAATAACATTTTTTTTTTAGAAATTCGTGGCAAACCTACCACATTTCTATGTGTCTCATTTAATTTTTAAATTCCTATTTAATGTTACTAAATTCAAAAGATTTTGATACAGAAATAATTCTCTTTTATGAATGTGGATTAAAATTAAACTGGGAAAGATTTAATTAAATAAAATCCTGCCCAAAAAACATTCATCTAGGAGCCATGGATCCAACTTAAATCCATTAGACATGGAATATGTGTGGGAAGCCCCTCCCCCAGAAAAATGAAATATTTTGGGGGATATTAAAAGGCAGAATATTATATTTCCCCAAAGGCAAAATGGAGAAACATGCTCTTAAAAACAGAAGGCAAACTCAGTCTTTCTTAATAGCTCCCAGCAAATATTTTGTGCTCATTAAAAAAGATTGAATAAAATAGAATAGAATAGGCAGGTTGATAGTAATTGTTTTTTCTGCAGTTCTAATTATCCTCTGAAGTCTGTGTCTGTCTTGTTGGGTTGCAGAACCAAACCAGACAGTTACAGAGGTGCAGATGACAGACTCATCTGCACCTCTTAAGAAAGATTGGGCCAGCCTATTCACAAAACAAAAGAACTTCACCTCCAGGAATGGGATTAAAATTTACATTCTCCTCCACCCAAATTCTAAGAACAGGACATGACCCTTTAGGACATAATGGGATTAACCTATTTAGCAAAAGACACAAGCCCCTTCATTGCACAACCCCCCAGAACAGTTCAAACTTCAAAGTCACAGAAACCTATAAAGATCCATCCGCCTATTCAGCCATTTGGTCAGCTGTCCCAGAACCACATGCTGCTGGTGATACTGCTTCATCAATGAGTGGACCCTCTTTCCAATCAGCCTTCATGTTATTTGCAGCATCTTTCTCCCAGCTTGGAACTGAAACACGTGGATTTTCCCTCCAACATATGAAAATGCCATTTCATCAATAAGCTTTTTGAAAAACATATTTTGATTGAAGCAATGACAGAACTTACATTAATGTTGCTTTCTTTTCTTTCCCTCTTCTCATTTCAAACCCAGCACACAATAATATTCCTGATGAGATACAGACCAGTTACCAATGTCCTCTCCTTAATGGTATGTTTTCTTCCCACAAGCAAGTCTGGAAACCTCCTTTAATAAACTGTACACACCTTCCAGCTGTAGCAACCTGCTGAGTGTAGCAGCTGTTTGCTCATATTTACACCTTATTGGCTGATGTCTTCTGACTCAACCCAATAGGAGGACTTCCCTATCAAATGGTTTCTTTTTATTATAGTAGCATAGGGTGGGCAGATCTGCACTTTCTGCTTTGCCCCTCACCAGTATGAGCCACTCCATGTTTACTGAGAACAACAATCAATGATGTCTCCTTCTTATTCAATACAATTCAATTCAGATACAAACAGTCTTTTGGATTCCCCGGTGCCGCCCATGTCCCCTGCCCTAATGAAGCGCTTTGCCAAGAAAAGCAGAGTCTCATGCTGCTCTTGGAGCAGCCAGGAGAAGGAGAAGCTGTCAGCGGGGAGGCAAGCGGGGAGGCAAGCCCAGGAGGACCAGAGAAGAGTGCAGCTTCTCACTCATGGAGCTCTACCTGTGGAAAAGTGGGCGCGGTAAGAGGTGCACTGGCGAAGGAAGCGGTCATGCTCCTTGGCCGAAGAGGGTTGCACAAACCTTTGCTGAGTGAACGTACAACCCTCTCCGGCCAGGGAGCATGACCGCTTCCTGGCTTGCACATTTCTTACCGCTTTCCATGACCACTTCCCCACTGGTGGATCTCCATGAGTGAGGAGCTGCACTTTTCTCCAGTCCTGCTGGGGCAGCTCGCCTGCCCGCTAGTAGCTTCTCCTTCTCCTGCCTGCTCCAGGAGCAGCCTGTTTGTTAGCTGGCAAGAACAGCCGGCCACCACAGCCTGCCCCACCCTCTCTGCCCCGGCAGTTGCTCCTGGTGCTGCCGGAGAAGCGGCAGCACGAGAACCACTCTTGCTGGTGGCAAGGGGGTGGTGGCGGCTGGAGCAGCAGGCCAGGGCTTCCCTCCCTCTCTCCCTCCCTCCCTCCCTCCGGAGGCCTGGGGCTATGCCAGAAGTCTGCTTGGGTGGGGAGACAAGGAAGCCCAAGACCGGCCACTGCCCCCTCGCCCTTGGCGGCAGCAGTTCTCACACAGTCGCTTCCCTGGCAGTGGCAGGAGCAGGTTGCAGGGGAGAGGGGATGGCGGCAGGTTGCAGCAGCAGACAGTTCGAGCCGGCTAAGAGGCAACATTCCTCCTCCTGCCAGCCTCAAGCTAGCTCCGGGCGGCATCCAGCCACCCATACCTGGCTTCTCCCTGCGGCAGCCCATGTGGATCCCAGGCAGCGCAACTTCGGGGCCTTTCCTCATGGTGGCGGTGACAAGGCAGGCAGGCAGCCGGGTGCAAAAAGAGTGACTGGCTGCAGCACTCCTGGCTGACAAAGGGCGGAGTCCTAGGGCTGCATGTGGGCAATGATGGTGGGCGGGGTAAGCGAGCGGCGACCAGGCCGGGAACCGGTTCGGGGGCGTAGCCAGCCAATGTTATTACCAGTTCTCCAAACTACTAAAAAATTTTACTACCAATTCTTGCGAACCGGTGCGAACCAGCAGCAACCCACTGACACACACACAAAAAACCTTCTCACATCCTGTTGCTTGCCAATGTACAGCTTTTCCGAAAACTGGGTTTTGCTGTGTCTTTTTGTTAATCACGACTAAAAAATGTGTTTGCAACTTTTATTTAACAAATCCTATATGTCATATATTGAAATCAGACCCGCCTTTTTAATATGTGCCATATTTCATAAGTTGTCTTAATTATAAACTACCATCTGTAATATTAATATATGCACTTCGTTTTGACAGGATTTAGACAAGCAATTTATAGTTTGGGTTTCATTGCAATTATCTTTGATGTGGCTCCTTACATTAAAAGAGAAACGTCTACATATTTAGAGAAGCTTCTCATAGGAAATAAATACTATAATATTCTATAGATATTAGAGAGATATTTGAGAGAACTTTCTCAAAAAATTGAAACATAGCATAGCCTTTGTGATGCTAAGGCAAAATATCTTTCTCACGGTGAGGAAGTATGGTACCACTTTTCTCTGGGTTCTGTGTTTCTCTGTATAAAACTCTTAGGCTTTAGGACTATATAAAGCAAGGCCAGACAGGCTTCAACCCCAACAACAGGAGGAAGACGAATGGAAGATATGAGTGTGTAAAGTTGATATCAGAGAAAGATTTTGATTAAAATGATTATAAATAAAAAGCTGGGGTGGGTGTGGCCTGCATGTGATGTATCCGGCCCATGGACTGCCAGTTTGACAGGCCTGGTATATTATAGATAGGTGTAAATGATGGAACCTCAGCATTGCCTTGATCCTAGATTGGTGCTGTGTAACAGTGAGAATTGGGTGGTTTTCCCACTGTCATTCCTGAGGACAAGGACACAGGGTTTCTGATAGTTAAAAGAATGTAGAATTCCATCTTATGCTCTGTGTCATTTCTGTTCAACTTGTTACTTAAGTATAAACTGTAATTTTCCATTTCCGAGTCTTATTTAATTCATTACTTTTGCTTTAATCTCATCTCTAAATGTTAAGTGCCCACAATTTAATGCAGCAAAATAGCCTGTGTATGCTGTTCTCAGCAAACTAGGATCTCCAGAAGCATATGTGGGAAGAGATATTACGGAAAAGGTCTGCCATCTGACCCACATGTATTTCCTCAAGAGGCGTTACACTCAGGAGAAGTTCCCTCTTCACAAGCAGAACTTATTACACATAGAATACCAAACTGATGATGGCAATAACCTCCAGCTGTTCATAGCTGGTGGTATGAGATCCACAATGGCACCAGCTGCATATCTCATTAAAATAGACAACCCAGAAAAGAGCTTTCAGCCTAGACTGATGCAATGCTCTCCCTTAGCCAATGTTGGAAGGTACATTTGATTAGGTACCACATGGCTTTTATGACTATGGGCCTATAACCAGTGGTGAAATCCAATTTTTTTTACTACCGGTTCTGTGGGTGTGGCTTGGTAGCTGTGGTGTGGCTTGGTGGGCATGGCTTGGTAGGTGTGGCAGGGGAAGGATGCTGCAAAATCCCCATTCCCTCCCCACTCTGGGGCCAGCCAGAGGTGGTATTTGCTGGTTCTCTGAACTACTTAAAATTTCCACTACCGGTTTTCCAGAACCTGTCAGAACCTGCTGGATTTCACCCCTGCCTAAAACTCAGAGTAAATAAACTCTTGTTTTTTAAAAATAATTTTTTATTTTATTCAGAACGTTATGGTAAAATACAAACTCCAAGCTCTACAAGCTCTGAATATTGGTCAATATATTACAACGGTATTAGCTAGAATACAACTTCCACGTAATCTCACTTACACATGGAACTGAAAATGAATCTATCAATTTTTATTTTCTTTATTTATTTATTTTGGAAAACATATATAAGATAACAGATGAAGTATAAACAGATTGTGAATACATGAGATGGTTACGAATAAAAGGGGACATTAGGAGCCACATGGAATGGTTTAAGAAAGTATTGTCACATCACCTTGTTTTTGATAAAATGTGTATAACTCAGTTTGATAATACCATGTGAATCAAGTTTCAAAACTACATCAATTCAGTTGGAGCACGGTGCTTAATTTTGTGTCAGCCCCACTGGGTAGACCAAACCAGGAAATCAACTCCATAGGAAGGCTGAAACTATGTTTATTGAGAATGGCCATAAAAACTGAAAGTCTGATTATGCTGGACATCCTTGATTTTTTTATAGTTGGGTTAAATAGGGAGCTGTCTTATCAGGACATTCTGGTTTTTAAAAATGCTTTAGTCCCTTTTCACTAGATAACAGCTTCTATATATATATACATCAATGTCTTCTTTCTAGATTTGGAAGACACATGTATTGGATTACACTATGTCACAGCTGCAATGATTATTGATTCTAAGAGCTCAACTTACTATATTCATAAATGATTCAGGATTCATCAATGTTTAACTGTTCAGCTCTTCTGAACTCACAATTTTTTGTGTAGCTGTCAACATCTACATGTTGGAACAGGTATAAAACAATGGAATAATTAGCTCTGGAGAAAAACATAGATTATGGTGACTGACCTCATACAGGCATACTCAATCAAAAGGACTAATATTCCAGAAAACTTGTCATCACTTGTGTCAAGGGTGCCTGTGGTGGCCCGAGCACTCTGCCAGCAAAAACGGGCTCCAAGCTCCATTTTCAGCTGTGAAGGCATCCTGAAAACCTCTGCCAATGAAAATGGAGCTTGGGAGGGCTACCCATGGCTCAACCAAGCTCCACTTTCGCTGGCAGAGGCACTGCGGACCGCTCCTTCACTGTTTCCAGGGTGGCCCCATGGGCCAGTTTTAAGCACCCCGTGGTCCGGACCTGGCCCATGGGCCTTGAGTTTAACACCCCTGCTCTACATCCTCTTGACAAATATCTTCTGACTTAATCCAACAGCGAGACCTCCCTATCAAATGAATCCCTTTTATTATAGTAGTAACCAAATTTGAACATTAATCAGTTGAATAATGACAGTCAAGATAATCCGATTCAATATAAAATATCATCTCCCATTGTATCAGCTTTTAATTTTAGTCTAGTTTTCTGGGGAGCATTTCATATGGATGCTTTCTTTATCCTTTGACAGTCTCCCAGTTTCCCATGGAAAGTTAGGAGATGCCTAACTCCTGTAAAGAAAATCTGCAGCATTATGGAGAGGCAAAAAATGAGGAACACAAAGAGAAGTTCCACTGGATAAGTAAATATGCCTTTACATCATTTGGGAGAGAGACCTTGGCATATATGGTATGGAATTACTATTGGAATCATCCTATATTATGGGAATCTTTCTATTAACTACTGACTAAGCCGATGAATGAAGCACACATTATGCCAGTGTTCAGATCAGACTTATTTATTTAAGAAAACTTGCAAACCCGCCTACAAGTTAAAAGCTTAGGAAGTTACATTGTTTATAACTTTAGGATCTACATTAAGTTAGCAGTAGGATCTAGACTTAATTCTTCAGTAGGAAAGAAACACACCATGGTTCATAAATAAAACAGAAGGATAAGCAAATTTGAACACAAATCAAATGAACAATAAAGACAGTCAACGTAAACTCAGGAAACAAAAAACACTTGAGTGTCTGGCACTTCCACAGGTACAATGATAACAGTGGAATTTTAATTCCAGGTGGCTTCATTGATATTTCTCCATCAGGCCAAGGATTACCTTGTATGCACGTTGGTGAGCATCAATGCCCCAAATAAAATCCCAGTGAGTCCAATCAGGGAACTCCTTATAATAGACAACATTAGTTGTTCGAAAGCGTAACTGTGCAATTTCCATTGGCCGGCAAATCCAATCTTGTCCTCCAGTCCACATAGCAACTGGCACAGTGATGGCCTCTATGCTGTAGAACGGTGGAGTTGTCTGAGGAAAAGAAAACAGCGTGAGAAAATTAGAAATTCTCCTAGAAGAAAATTCAATACAAGGGCGGGAATCCCCATTTCTATTTAGTCCTCTTTGTTATATCGTCTCTGACTCAACCACTTTTAAAATTTTGTATTCTGCACTGTACTTACTGCAGGCTATATCCATATTGTACTTATATTTTAAAAATGCCCAAAGCCCTGCAGAGAATATAGGAATGCTTCTTAATTTCCCTACACCTATCTCCACCCTTGTGGGCACCCCACCTATAGTGATCTCAGAAAAAAATGTGTGAGTTCTATGTCCTAGACAAAAGATCGGAAAAGCAACAGGCCCAGACAGAGTGACTCCTTCTTGCTTGAAAGCCTGTGCTGAACAATTAGCCCCCATCTTCAAACAGCTGTTTAATAAATCACTGGAGATGGGTTTTGTCCCTTCTATCATCATCCCAGTTCCTAACAAACCCTGTGTCAGGGAGCTGAATGACTATAGACCATCTGACATCTATAGTCATGAAGTCCTTTGAGAGGTTAGTGGTGGCCCACTTTGAAAGTCATCATGGATCTGCTGTTAGACACACACACACCCTTGCAGTTTGCCTACTGAGCAAATTGATCAACAGATGAGGCTGTCAATATGATCTTGAATCCCTGGGGACCTGTGCATGGGTCCTTTTTGAGGACTTCAGTTCAATGCTAAATGCCATCATTCCAGAAATTCTTCACTCTAAAGCAGAAGAAGCAGGTGTAATGTCCTCCCCATATCCTTCCACTTCTATCCCAACTACTTTCCTGAAAACACGTGTCTATTGCTTTCCAATAAACAGAAATTTTTTTACTTATGGGGATTTTCCAAAACAATAGGAAGTTTTCAAATCAAAAATACTTTCAATTATTTATACCTTATTTTTAGTTACCCAGGATAAAAGTATTTCACAGAATAATCTGGTAGCTTGGCAGAAAGCAATCATTATAGTATGAGATTTAGGAATCAAATGTTCCTTATTTGTCTTCTTTCCCATGAAAAAATGCAACAAACCCTACATTAAAGAAGTGTCAAAATCCAGCACCACCAACCTGGTTATAGATATCTATGTTCTTCGAGCCATAGTCAAAATATCTGAAAAGCCCACTTTTCATTAACTGGAATAAGAAAGAAAACACAACAGAGACATAAGGAACTATATTTTTCTATTATAAAAATAATAATGAAGTGTAAAGACAAAAATGATGCAGAAATCCTCCAATCATGTTTTGTTACCATTTAAGGGGAGTTAACTCCAATGAGAAGACATCGAGACAACTCACAGTTTTTATCATTTCCATGAAGTTGTTTATTGTCATACAGCCAGCAAAAAATAAAAAAACAAAATTAGTCAGAACTGGATGTTAAAATCTTGGACCTAACTACAGGTAGTCCTTGACTTACAACAGTTTGCTTAGTGACTGTTCGAAGTTACAATGGCACTGAAAAAAGTGACTTGTGACAGTTTTTCACACTTATGACCATTGCAGCTTCCTCATGGTCACATGATCTATATTCGGATGCTTGACAATTGACTCATATTTATGACGGTTGCTGTGTCCTATGGTCATGGGATCCCCTTTTGCAACCTTCTGACAAAGCAAAGTCAATGGGGAAGCCAGATTTCACTTAACAGCCATGTTACTAACTGAACAACTGAAGTGATTCACTTAACAAATATGGCAAGAAAAGTCGTAAAATGTGACAAAACTCACTTAACAAATTTCTCACTTAGCAACATAAATGTTGGGCTCAACTGTGGTTGTAAATTGAGGACTACCGGTAGAACACCATGTGCCTTACCAAAGCCACTGTCAGCCATTTTGTTTATGTTAACAATGGAGGACATTTTTTTCATAAATCTTATATCTTACAACTCAACTCATAGGTTCTACTTTCCCAACTACAAAATGGCCAATGAAAAGCTCAGGTTTTCACTCCAAAGCATTCTGGAATGGTTGCCTTAAAAGATCTTTCTAAAGTTTAATTTTTTTAAAAAAAAACCATTTCCAAGTAGTTATCATGAACAAATCATATTTGTACAGACTTTGGCATGTAAGCCATATGCATCCATGGACATCTCCAGATAGATGGGTGAGTCAAAAAGATTAAACTCCTTCCCCTTTTCCCCTTTTTATACATACATTAAGGCTTTGATCATGCATTTACCCTCTCCCCATCTTTCTTTGATACTCGAGATAACTTAAAAATCAATGTGGCATCCAGTTATCTAAAGAAAACCCATTCACCTTTGGATTAGACAAAATGTGTTCATTGTTTAGCGTATGGCATATCATACATGCACTAGCAATATATATTAACATTTCACTCAGATTAGTAAAACGCAATACAATATAAATGTCAAAAAGGTTTATGTTCAAGTATTTCTTTTCTTAATTAACAGCCTTTTAGAAGGACTGAGATGTGCAATATTTTTGAAAGACGTTTTCCGTCATTAAGCAAATGCTGTCTTCAATTAAGAATTTGCTGAACTGGTTTAACCAGCAGTTAAAGGTATTTACTTACCTTGGTTTTGTCTTATTCTTATTGGAGTTCTCAACAGACTATTTTATAATTATTTTTACCTGACCATGGGGATTTTTTATTAAAAGATGAAAGATTTGTTGAATTCAATCATCAAAATGAGCCTTACCTGGCTCAAGTGGATTATGAGTTTTACCGAAGTATAATCTGGGAAATGTGAAATATACACATCAGAACGGCTCTAGAAACAGTAAAGAAAAGACTGTTTAGAAGAATTTTATACTGCAAAAGGCTTCTATGAACTGTACTGCGTAAAAGATGAGAAGCATCTAGGCCTTTTTGTCGTCACGTGCCAAAAGTGGGGGAAGCGTGGGGGGGTCATGCACGCATGTGCCCACACCCATAATTCAATGCCCCCCATGCCCGCCCGCCCATGCACGTGTGACCCCGCCACACTCCCCCCACTTTTGGCACGTGATGGCAAAAATGGACCTGGTAGGCCCATTTTTCGCCCTCCCCAGGCTCCAGAAGCTTTTTTGGAGCCTGGGGAGGAAAAAATGGCCTCCCCACCCCCAGAGGCCCTCCAGAGGCCAGAAATGGCCCTCCCAGAGCCTCCACGCGAGCCCTGTACTTACCTGGCATCCAAAATGGGCCGCATGGAGACTCCTGGGAAGGGAGGGGCAGTGTTGGAAGCATGCATGCACGCTGGAGCTGAGCTAGGGCAATGTTCACATGCCCACAGATATGCGTGCCATAGGTTCGCCATCACGGATCTAGGCTAATCTTGAGCTAATCACTGAGTAATTTCATACAACAGGAAGGGAGGGAGGGAGGAATAGATATCCAGATGAAATAGGAAGATTATGTTGTTATTTACCTTTCACTGTTTAAATGCAATGTGTTTTAAAGTATGACACACCAAAGAATTATCAGCACCATTGGCATTGTTTTTTAATGTTGTTTTCATCCAGAGACTCAGATCATAGAAATACTTGCAAATGTATATCTATATTGTTGAGAATCTGAATCCAAAAGCTCCACACATTCACATACCCTTGCATACTTTCCCAATGCAAATTGAGCTTCCAGGCTAGGATTAAATTAATAGAATCATAGAATTATGAAACTGAAAGACATCAAAAGGATGCCCTTTATTAAAGACTGAAGACACATCCCGTGTGGTGCTGGACAACACAGTTATCAAATATCCTGCAACATTTTTGCCAGCGTCCCTCATTTAAGTCTTGTGGGAACTTTTTTTAGGAAATGTATTTTGTCTTGCAAACTCTTTATCTTGGACTATTTCACTCTTTAACTATATAAGTGTGGGGCCATTCTTTAAAAAGCTTCATTTTCTTTAACATTTTGAAAAACTTCATTTAAATACCTTATTTAAATTCTTCAGATTAAATCCAGCAACTAGAGAAAGTGCTTGTCTGCAGAGTTCATCAGCCGGTTGCCGTCTACACTGTTGAGCCAGAGCTGTTCTCTGGCGTGGATTCAGCAGAACTAATTCCTTCTTCCCAAATATGAGCTGCAAAACCAAGGAATCCTTTTTCCTGTGAATCTTTCCAATGGATTTCTTAAACAAACTGGCAAATTAAGAATCTTAATATTCTAAAATCCTTAAATTAAGAAAACAGCTGCAGGCTATGTAAGTAAGTTTTGGAGATGCTTCCCATTTCAATTATTTTTCCAATTTTCAGATTTATAAAAGAATTTGGCCTTGTTCTTTAGTTTATTTTTTTTTAAAAAAATATGAATTTGCTATAAAGTTCTATATATTAGAAATTATGGAAGAATAAACTCACCACCTGGGTGAAGGGAAAAGGAACGATTCAAAAAAGGCATGTCCAACCTTTTCAATTGCCTGGGCCACATTGAGTAAAAAGGGCCACATATATAATGTATAATATAGTTAATATATATAAATAGCACTTAAACTTATACACCACTTCACAGTCCTTTCTAAGTGGTTTACAGAGTCAGCATATTGCCCCTAACAATTCACATTTTATCAACCTTGGAAGCATAGAAGGCCGAGTCAACCTTGAGCCGGTAAGAATCGAACTGCAGGCAGTCAGCAGAATTAACCTGCAATACTGCATTATAACCACTGCCCCACCATGGCTCTTTTGCACATAATAATGTTTAAAGTTTACAATTTTATGAGACTGCTTTATTAGCTGTCCAGGATTGTATGCGGCATGTGGGCCACAGCTTGAAACGGCTGCTTTAAAGAACTAAGAAACAGTTCTGATAAGAAAACTCAGTGCTACAAATATAGGAATGGGAACATAAAAATAGAACATAAAGATAGAAATAATAGATTAAATAAGAGTTGTAAATTTATAGGCAGAAGAACAACACAGGGGGTTAATTTTGCATAAATAAAACAATTTTGTGTGGTCTTTATAATAAATAAACCTAACAGAAATAAAAGTTGCTCATGTTAAAAGCAAAATTCAAGAGGAGTATCATGTGCACAAGGTCAAAAATGGAATCAAGTAGATGAGACAATAAAACTGGACATTGAAGACAAACTTGAAATCCCTGATGCCTTCAAATCAGTGGTGGGTTGCCCCCAGTTCGGACCACTTCGCAAGAACCGGTAGTAAAACTGGTGGGAGGCCCCGCCCACCGTCCCAGATGTCGTCATCAGCGATCTGCTCATGCATTGCGAACCGGTGATAAAGGTAAGTAGAACCCACCCCTGCTTCAAATGATCCCGTACCTTAGAATAAACTCAGGGTATCCTTCTAAAAACTGCAGAGAAGAATTTGCACTGCAAGGTTTGCAAATATTGCTGTCAGTGCCAAAATGAAGCAGCTCTGAAAGTTGTTCTTTCTTCTTTCATCCTTCTTATTAGTACAGGTAATAATCCTTCCTATTAGTACAGCTAACTAAAAGTTGGTATTGGTCTATATATCAGACATGTCAAACTCAAAGCCCACGAGCCAGATCCAGCCCACAGGGTATTTAGATGTGGACCGTGGGGCTGCCCTGGAGACAGCGAGGGGGCGGCCTCTGCCACATCCACCCACCCCAGCCGCAACTGCATCTTAGACCAAAAAGAAGGAACAGAAGGCCGGTGGCTGGGCTGCCTTCTGGCCTGCTGGATTTGGGTTTTTCTTTTGGTTGCGGCGTATGACTTGACTGTCGCCGAAATGCAGGAGGGTTTCTCTATCAGCAGGAATTTGAAGCCTGAAGGCCTCTATCTTTGTAGCCATGCAGTTCTAAAATCGATGGGCTGCTGCTAGGGAGGGAAATAGGAAAATAAGGCAAAACAAGCATAGTCTACCATGGTTTATTAATTGCCAAGTTTTCCTCAGGTTTTCCTATCCCTTTCTGGCTATTAAAATCACATTGCTAAGGTCTGTACTGAACACCTGGCTGCAAACTAGGCAGCAGTGGTGTCAAACTCAATTTCATTGAGGGCCACATCAGGGTTTTGTTTGACCTTGGGGGGCTGGGGTGGGCGTAGCCAGGGTGAGCATGGCCAGCTCGATGTCACTCGTGTCGGAGGCACCTGTGGTGGCCTGAGTGCTCTGCCAGGGAAAATGGGCTCCCAAGTTCTGTTTTCAGGTGTGAGGCCTCCTGCAACCGTCTCCCAGTGGAAATGGAGCTGCCTGTGGCCCTCCCGAGTTCTATTTTTGCTGGCAGAGTCACCACAGGTCGGTCCTTCACTGTTTCCAGGGCAATCCTATGGGCCAGTTCTAAGCACCCTGCAGGCCAGATCCAGCCCGCAGGCCTTGAGTTTGACACCCCTGGCCTAGCCCATTGTGGAATCCCAGGCCACTTTCTGGAGGTAGGAGGATGCAGTAACAGGAGAGGGCTGAAAAATTGCTCCATTATTTATTCTTGCCTCTAGTAGCAATAACTATGTTCTTTGACATATTTGCTAGCAGCCGGCAAACTGTGAACTTCCCTCCCCCCCCCTCCCGGGGGAAAGAATTCAGAAGTGCTAGATTGATTTCTCCTGCTAATTACAGTATATTTGTGGGGTATTTAAGGAGCTGTGAGAAAAAGATGTGTCTGAAAATTAAAGGATGTCAGGATTGAGCTGTGAGACAGGAAAGGAAAGTGCGCAATTAATATTCTGACTTGACACCTGCATGCTGTCAGGGCCCAAAATTTATCTTCATTCTTCATAGGCAGGCACTGTGGATTAACTAAATTCTTCTGGATTCTGGTTTTAAGGTGAGTATCTTGAGCTAAGGAGGCCTTTGACCTTCTACTTAAATACATAATAATAAAATAATGAGAACTAAAGACTTGAAGCGAAGGCAGATTAGAAAGAACGAGACCTTCAATTCCCTTCCTGCTAAGAGTTTCTTAATAAGGTTTGCTCTTCCTTCCTAACATCAATAAAGGTGGTTTTTCCGGAAAATGTGTGAAGAGCTACAATTAGTGATTTAACTATGTTTTCCTTTTGGCTGTCTTTTAATTTATATAATATATGTTTAATTGGGGTGGCTTGGAGAGGCAGAAGTGACCAACATGGAGGCTGCACCTTGCTCTCCAGATATTTCTCCCCTGCAGATCTCTGGAGAGGAGAAGGAGGGGGTGGCAGAGCTACGTGAGGGAGGGCTGCCCCAACAAGCCAGCATCCTTACCACACACAGTTGGAAACAGAGATTCCCTTTCTAGAAGGGCCAGCCTCCCTTGTGCAGGATTGGGGAGCGCTGTTCCCCTGCCTCCTCCTCTTGCTCTCTAGAGGTCTGTCAAGGCAGAAGTTGGACTCAGAGTAAACTGTATTAATATTTAAGACAGAATTAAAATACATTTGTAAAATAACCTAACTAGCATCCAAAACTGAGATCCAGGATAAAACATATTGTATTTTTTGGAGTATAAGACGCACCTTTTTCCGCCCTAAAAGGGGGTGAAAATTTAGGTGCATCTTATATCTCAAATGTAGCCCTGCCCACCCACTGGCCCCCACCCTTTGGCCTCTGCCTCGCAGCAGTTACCTCCTTGCAAGCAAACAGCAAGAAAAAACAGTTCCTTTCAGCTTCAGCACAGCCTAATTAGCACAAGTCGATTGGATTGGCCTCCCAACTCTCAGCTGATTTGCTCTCAGCTGTTTTGCACAGGGCTCTGCTGCTTGCTGCAAAGATGTAAATTGCTGGGAGCAGATTTTTTTTCCCTTATGCTAATCAAGCTATGTTGAAAACGAAACTGAAATTAAAGCAGGCTATTTGCTGTTTGCTGCAACGAGGCAAAATTGCTCAGAGGCAGAGGGAGATTTCTTTTTCTTCTTTTCCTCACCAAAAAAGGTAGGTGCGTCTTATACTCCGGTGCATCTTATACTCCGAAAAAATTGGTATATGAAATTATAATGTAAAGGAGGGACTTCTGGTTGGTGATTCGTGGTGACATGGTGGTAGGAGAGTGATCTCTGCTCCCCAACCCCATTTTTGACATGTTTTGGGGACCCCAAGGGGCTCAAAGCCCAGAGAGCTTTGCGAACGAAAGAGGGAGTCAGGCGAGCGGGAAAGCGTAGAGCAAGTGCTCCCCGCTCGACCGGACACGTCTGTTGATCCCAACACGAGTGCGTCTGTCATTTAATGGTGGACCTGAGGCCACGATATGCCAGCAAAAAGACGGGAAGCAAAGAAGAAGATCGGAGGAGACAGTGCTAGATGAGGAGATTTTTATCTTCCCTAATAACCGTAGAGACCAAATCGGAGACGAAGTGAGGTCGATCGCGTCGGGCAAAAGGACTTGCAGAAGGGAACCGAGTGGCAACTAGAGGAAAGGAGAACCGACTGGAAAAGCGGAGAGAACTGACAGGTCGGCACGGAAGAATAAGTAGAGTGTCTTAACAGAGCTGTGGCGCAAGAGAAAGATCGGTGGGATGCTGTAAGCAACAATAAAGCGGGGGGGGAAACACCTAGCTGTCACAGAGAGATTTAATGGAGAGTTAGACTGACAGAGACCCAGGCAGAAATCGAGGAGGAAGGAGGCAGGAAACACGGCCATTCTAAGGAACTGATGGCAGCAGCAACAGAAGAGTGACTAATAGACTAATAAAACGGAGAAGGGCACATCAAGAGTACAGCTAATTAACTTTGATAAATTGGAGAAACTGATTTTGAAAGAAATGACAAGCCTTGCTTCAACAGTATTAAAAACAGGAAAGAAGATGACCTTTAATCCCACAATCACGATGACCTCGCCTGCAACTCAAAGATCGATGGAAGGACTATCTAAAGCAGAAAAATACATGGTTATTCCAACAATGCAGGCTATGCAATCCACCTGACATTAATCCAAGAAACAATGATGAAAATGCAGGAGAAAATGTCCAGCAATCACGAGGAGTTGAAGATGGATATCCAAGCTCTAGACCAGCGGTTCTCAACCTGTGGGTCGTGACCCCTTTGGGGGTCTAACGACCCTTTCACAGCGGTCGCCTAAGACCATCGGAAAACACCGATAGAGTCTAAAGGTTGAGCAACGCTGATGTAACCCAACCCTGCCTTGGACCTTTAACATACGTGTCTTCCATTGAGCTTGAAGCCGGGAAGG